GTTTGAGAGAGGCGGGGCATAGAGGACCTACAATAATGTACAGTATTTGAAAAATAATGTGTTTTTTGAATATTAAAGCATGTCAACACATTCTGTTATACCAAATACACAAAATAATGATCTTTAAAATAACATCATATGACCCATTATCTTTAAATAATGAAGAAAAAAACTTCCATAATTAATATTTATCCATTTTCAAGAAAATACTATTTCAGATTTTCTGATACAAAATTTCATGTTTAATTAAGCATGTTATTTGCTGTTTATTTGTAATTGTTTGTGAAATCTATTGGCAAATTATGAGTGAAAATTGTTTCTACAACATCAGTGTAATTAATCCATTATGTATCAAAATGTAAAACAATAATATTTTTAAAGCATTTATTAATCTAGGTTAATGTTAATTTATAAATACAATTTGGTTAATTGTTCATTCATGTAAATTTATACAACTCGAAATGTTAAATAAATGTTTAATGTAATAGAACATGTAGAGAATAACATTAAAGGGGTAATATGATGCGATTTCAAGTTTTCCTTTCTCTTTGGAGTGTTACAAGCTGATTGTGCATAGATAAGATCCCTGAACTTGCAAAGACTAAAGTCTCAAAACCAAAGAGATATTCTTTATCAAAGTTAAGACTCTGCCACGCCCCCTAAAACGACTCGTTCTAACACGCCCCCACATATCTACGTCACTATGTGGAAATATTTGCATAACGCCGCCCATATGTTCACGCAAAGAAAGAAGGCGTGGTTTCAGTAACCGCAGTTAGTGTTGAAGCAGCCATGTCAGGGAGACGCTGTGCTGATCTTTAAAAAAGCATCATATGACCCCTTTAAGGAAGATGAATAAATGTAGTAAAAAATTGTTCATTATGAGTTCATGTTAGCTATTGTATTAACTAATGCTAATGTATAAAACCTCATGGTAAAGTGTTCCCAAACCTAATTTAATATCAACAACACAAACACTCATACACAATGAAAAATAAGATATTTTCGAATATAACGCCAAACATGTTGTCACGGGTGCACTGCTGAGCAGAATCAGGAGCAAGGAACGGAGAGAGACGAGGAGTACATCAATCCAACTGGGTTTTAATTTACACAAAGGAACACGGAACACTCACGCAATACATGGAGACATGACATGAACAATACCGGACGCTGGAGCACACACAGGGAACACTATTTATACACACAGGAGGAGGGGATGACGAGACACACCTGGGAGCAATGAAACAATCAAGGGAAACACCTGGGACAAATTAAACATGGGAAAGGAAGGCACATGAGGAAAACAACCACAAAACACGGAACAGAGTCTGACATAATGCCCCCCTCCGGCAGGCATGTCCTCACGCCATATAACATCCAATGGGGAGGGGGGGTTGGGCACTCTGGAGGTCCCTCAGGACAGACACAGGACAGTGGGCCTCCAGAGCGGTACCCGTTC